GGGAGGCAAACCATAAGAGACTCTTAAATACAGAGAACAAACTGAGGGTTCCTGGAAGGGTGTTGGGTTGGGGGATGGGCTAAATGGGTGATGAGCACTAAGGAGGACACTTGTGGGGATGAGCACTGAAACCATTATTACACTATATGTTAACTAACTTGGATTTAAGTAAAACTAAAAAAAGATGTGTCATGAAAGCCATGTTTAAATGCACATCATTTTCAGAAATGATCGTAGTTAAATTAAGATTTATTTAATACTAAAAACTAAAAGAAAGTAATTGGCTTAATCATTCCGCCATTTGAACAAGCATAGAGTATCCTTTGAATCAATATTTTGATCCTGGTCTGATCCCTCATTAACATAACCTGATAGCTGAAAGAAAAAAAAATCCGTCAGGGGCTTTCCATTGCTTTCAGGATGCAGTCTGAACTCCTTAGCATGGCCCACAAGGCCTTCCATTTGCCTAGATTCTGCTTCTGTCTCCAGCCTTGACTCCCCATTACTCTCTCTCTCTCTCTCTCTTCCCCCCCCCCCCCCCCATTCCTCTCTTTGCTGTGCTTCTGCCACATTCAGCTTCTTGTGGGCCCAGAACAGGTCCTGTTCTTTCTTGCCTCCAGACCTTTACATACACTACTACTGTCTTTGCCTGGAATATTGATTCTTCCCTCATACTCCCTTCTCTCCTAACTAACCATGACTCCTTCTCCAGATCTCACTTTAGATCTGTGGTTCTTAACCATGATGAATCAATCTGATGAAAACAATGGATTCTCTTCTCCCCAGTGGCAAATACGGGTTCCTGTGTACTATTCATTTTGCATACAGGTCAGGGTGCAGGAATCCCTGCTTAACAACTCTTTAAGCTAAGCCCTCTTTTCTAGTATTTAACACATTTCATAATTGTTGGTTTACTTGTCTCTCCCCACTGGACTGAGCTCCATGAGGGCAGGGCCATAACTTATTCATGGTTGTGTCCTCTGGTCCAGCACAGTGCTTGGCACATAGGGACTGCTTGATATGTGTTTGTTGAATGAATGAATGAATGAACAAATATCTGCCCTTGAATGGATCATGTTCTTTTTGGAGGAATAGGACATGCATGGTAACAGATGACAGGCAGAAGTGGAAGAGGCTAGAAAGATGTGCGACTAACACGTTTTCTGAAAATGAATAAATCAGGAGACTATAGATGCTGGAGAGGATGTGGAGAAATGGGAACCCTCTTGCACTGTTGTTGGTGGGAATGCAAACTGGTGCAGCCACTCTGGAAAACAGTGTGGAGGTTCCTCAAAAAATTAAAAATACATCTACCCTATGACCCAGCAATAGCACTGCTAGGAATTTACCCAAGGGATACAGGACTGCTGATGCATAGGAGCACTTGTACCCCAATGTTTACAGCAGCGCTTACAACAATAACCAAATTATGGAAAGAGCCTAAATGTCCATCAACTGATGAATGGATAAAGAAATTGTGGTTTATATACACAGTGGAATACTACTTGGCAATGAGAAAGAATGAAATATGGGCTTTTATAGCAATATGGATGGAACTGGAGAGTGTTATGCTAAGTGAAATAAGCCATGCAGAGAAAGACAGATACCATATGTTTTCACTCTTACGTGGATCCTGAGAAACCTAAGACCATGGGGGAGGGGAAGGAAAAAAGAGTTAGGGAGGGAAGCAAACCATAAGAGCCTCTTAAAAACTGAGAACAAACTGAGGGTTGATGGGGGGTGGGAGGGAGGGGAAAATGGGTGATGGGCATTGAGGAGGACACCTGCTGGGATGAGTATTGGGTGTTGTATGGAAACCAATTTGACGATAAATTTCATATTAAAAAAAAAAGAAAATTCAAATCTGAGGTGGTTGGGCTGGGCCTCTTGGCAAAAGCAGAGGAGGAGGGCTCTTGGGTTGACCTTGAAGATGGAAGGACATAGAGAGCTCATGTTTTGTTTTATTTTGTCAGAGTAGTCGAGGTAAGGAAAGGAGCAAGAATGACCAAGCCTTTGTTGGTTTCTGCTCCTCAGGAATTACTGGAATCCATGGAATTATGAGATATCAAGGAAAGCCCCTTTTTTTCCTTTTCTTCTTTTTCCTCCAACAAGTATTTTTTAAGTGCTTGTTATATGCCAAGCACTTTGTTAGGTGTTGAGGATATCTTGGCAAATGAGCTTGACAAGATCTTCTCCCTCTTGGTTCTTGTTTGCTAGGTCTTACATACTAAGTTGTCCTTAGAATTTGGACCAAGGCCTTGTTTGGGAATACTTTTATGAAGGTCATTAGTTAGGGTTAGGTTTAAATTATCCAGGGATTTGTGAGAAATGACATGCGGTCTAGAGTTAGGCCAAGATTCAAATCCCAGCCCTGCCTCTCACAGCCATATGCAAATACCTTTTGAAATGCCAGTTCTATAGTTTATAAAATGGAAATAATATCTACCTCCGGGGGTTGTTACAAGGATTGAATGAAATAACGTGTATAAACCCTTGGCAGAGGTTCTGGCACACAGTAGCAGCTATTACTGCTACCACTTTCAGAGTCTGTTTAAGCTGAAGCCTTAGTTTGGTGCAGTAATTTCTGTTGGTTTATAAGAAATAATGTTGGATTTTACAAGTCTGTGTGATTTATACCGGTTTCTAATATCCTATAAAGGAACTTTCTTAAAATAGATTTTGGTTTTTGAGGCCATAGTTTTTCCTTCACGTGGTTTTCCCGTTTGCTTATTGAAGTTTAAGTATTTAATATAGAAAATTAGAAATTTTGGAGCCATGTAAAGAAGCAGGAAGAAAAATCTCCCAAAGTTCCACCATCTGTGTCTGAATGTTTGCTATACATTTGACTAAGAATGATCTTGCATCCCCCAGAAAAATAAAACTTTTGCCCATATATACTGGTAACTTCGTGTAATTTCAGGAGTTTCTACTTGTTTACCCGGAAGTTACAAAACTGATTGATCTTATTCTCAAGTACAGCTTCCACAGAGAGAAAACAATCAAGCCAGGCTCTGATTTCACACTCACAGAAGGGCTTCTGAATCCCTTGGTTCTTGCAGTCAGGTGTTTCTTTTTTTTTCAGTCTTTTTTCTAAGGCCCAAGTTCTTAAACTAATAATTGGCTGCCTGTAATTATCATTTGCATTATAATTATCAGCTGGACTCTTACTGATGACTTTCTTAATAGCTGTTTAGAAAGATAAGTTGAACTTTTGATTTTCTTGGGTGTGGATTTTTATTTTATGTGTCTTGGAGTAAACTCAAGAGAGATTGTGAGAGCCTGTCTAATGGGTGCAGTAGAAATCCCCTATCTTTTCCTCTTTCCCCTTTGCCAGTTTGTCCTGCCTCAAGGCCTTGTGCTGAGGCCTTTTCACTGACTTCTACCGGTAATCAGAGAGAAGACTGAACAGGGTGGAGGGTCTCTGGTCTACCTGGTCTGATGGTGGAAGGAGTGGGCAGAATTTGGAATGATTTTCCTCCCTCTTCCAGACTCATTCAAATCTCTAACTGTGTTGCGCTGGGAACTGTAGATTGGTGGAGGAATCATGTGCTGCCCATGCTGCTTGGAGGTGGGCGTCTGCAGCCCACACGCTGTACTGTACTTTATTTTCTTGGCTCCAGCACACAAATTCCACAGAGAGAAAACAACTACCCGGGCTCTGTTTTCATACTCACATAAGGGCTTCTGAATCCCTGTTTCTTGCAGTCAAGTTGCCCTTTATTTCAGTCTACAAAGACACATGTCTAGCCTGTCTTTTCCTACTGGAATCAGCAGCCCTTGTTGGATGAGTTTGGCTGTAGGCAAACCCATGTGCTGTGTAAGAGGGCAGGCTGGGGAAAGGGGCCTCATTTCTGTGCACATGTGGTACTGCTGCTGCCCTAGTTCACAGGCTCTGTCCTTTTCTTTGTTGGATTATTATCAGGGCCTCCCAACTGTTTTCCCTGCCTCTGATCCAGCTTCCACTGTGCATCCAAAATTTCATTCAGAAATACCCATCTGTTGATGTCATTCCCCTGTTTAAAACCTTCCAGTGGTGCTACTCCTAGGATCAAGTCCAAACTCATTTGCGTGGCTTACAGGGCTCTGCAAGCCCCGGCTGCTGCCTCCCTCTCCAGCTTCTTCTCACTGGCACCCCATACCAGCCTCTCACTCTTCTCCAGATTTATCCTTTTGGCACTTTCCTGCCTTTACAACTTATGGCTCCTGCATCCGGCTCATCCTTCCTCACCTTTGCTGCCCATGGAAATACCCAGCTTAAGTGTGACCTCCTACTAGGATGGCTTCCCAGGGCTTGTTTGCTCCATCTTTTGCATTCTTGGGATTTAGTAGAGGATCGTGAGTAGAGTGTGCACTCTGGAGTCACACTCACTGGTTTCAGTCCCAGCCTGGCCCCTTCCTAGATGTGTAACTGTGGGCAAAATGAATACCCACCCTCCTGTGCCTCAGTTTCTTCATCTGTGAACTGGGGATAGTATTAATGAAACTCCTAGGTTGTTGTGAAGATTGAAAGAGGTGCCACTTTAAAGTGCTTAGCCCATTGCTTAGCTGTCGTTAGCACTCGATAAATGTTACTTTGTATTGTTGTTATATTGGCATGTTATTTATATCTCCATTAAGCTCCTATCGCCTCATACATTTTTATATATCTGCCCTGCTAAACTGTGCGCTCCTTGAGGGCAGGTGCATATCTTGTTCACTTTTCTGGGCCCTGTATGTACAGGTTTATAGTAAATGTTGGTTGAATGAGTTACTACTGCACACAGATTTGCCTTCAAAATGGGAATGGGCAACAGACAGAGTGAGGAATGCATAGAGTTGGGTTTGCAGATGATCACAGACCCAAAGTTGATGTGCCCTTGAGGTCAGCTGTTTTATCCTCCTCCATGCCTGAATCCCTTCTGCCACCTCCCAGTGCTTTTATGCTGCCAACACAGGGCAGGAGGCTATGTGAAAGTTAAGCACCAAGTTCGTGTCCGTTTTGGTTTTGTTTTGGACTGTAGGTGACATGTCTGAGAGTAAAGCCAAGAAGATAGAAATCAAGGACGTGGATGGGAGGACGCTGAATAAGCTGATTGACTACATCTATACGGCAGAAATCGAGGTGACTGAAGAGAACGTCCAGGTAAACTCAACCCCAGCTAATCGCTCACCACGCACTATTATTGCATCATTTCATTGAACCCTCGCGAGAACTCATTTGGTAGCTGGAGAGGAAGCTAAAGCTCCAAAGAGGTTAGGTGACTTGCCCTGCATCACATGGCCTTTAGTTGGGTGAAAGACCCTCACACCCATGCCTGTCTGATCATGGCACCCATACTCTTAACCGCTAAGCCGTCATGCCTCTAAATGAGCTTGGGCACCAGAGCAAAGTCTGTAACTCATGTTGGTTCAAACTCTGGGTGAAGGGTGACCCCACTTCTCCCCAGTCATCATCTCATCTCAGGGATTTTCAGTGTGGATTGTGAGGCTGTTAAAAATTTTTCCTGTTTCAACATTAGTCACCTGAGTTTCTTTGAGCACTCATGCTCAGAGATGGAGGTGCCAAGCACCAGGCCTGAGTCTCAGCAGGGGTGTGCGGCTGCGAAATGTGTGCCTTTTCCTCCTTTTGCTGCCCCGCCCTCATCCTCAGCCATCTGGAGCCTTGAAAAGAGGAGCCAGCAAAGACACTGCTTCACCCAAAGGTGTGCGTCTTAATGGTTGGGGACATGAGGCAGCACCGGCATGCTTCACTAGGAGAGATGGTTGAGGGGGTGTGGCCCATTCTGGAACCTACAAACCCCTGGGCCAAACACAGACACAGGACATACTATTTCTTGTCATTAAGGGCCTTACTATTTTAGTAAAGTGCTGGAAGGTACATGTGATATGAAGGATTTTCCTTTTTTCTTTTTCTTAAAGCACAGTTCCACCTTCTTTATTGTGAGGCAGATACCTCTCCAGTGACCAAAATACCTATTTCCCTTTTCCAGAACACCACCTCCTTTTTCAGGATCACGGTATTTGGAAAGCTGAGTTGGTAATCATTTTTTCATTCAATTCAACCCAGATGTTTGAGTGCCTCTTACATGCTGGGCACTTCGTTGGGCTATGTGGTTGTAATGGTAACAGGGGTGATTCCGTTGCCTGCTGTCACGCAGTTTGTGGTCTGGGGGTGAAGACAGATGCTCATCAAATCAGCACACAAGTAATGTCTGTGCACAGATTGTGATAAGTCCTTTGAGGTAGGGAACATGGTATATAATTAGAGAGTATCAAGGAGACGCAGTTTAGATGGGTGGGGGGATCTGGGAAGGGCTCTTTGGGGAGATAAAATTTAAGCTGAGACTTGCTATGGTGAAGGGTACTTGTGAGGGTAAAGGGTAAAGGCAAGCTGAGGGTCTGAGGCACCCTGCGTTCGGGCCTCCGGAGCCTGCCTCTCAGTAGAGCCTGCCTTTGTCTCTGGCCTCTGGATAGACTTTCAGGTTGTATAGTGATCTAGTCTAATCCCCTTCCCCTTTTAAACTGAGGTATATACCCCATAAAACACACAGCCTTTGCAATTCATTTCTAGTCTTTTTCATCCAGAATGAAATCAGCAAGGGAGTGCTCACATCTTAGGTCTAGCAACAGAAACTAAACAGCTGAATGACTTTTGGGCAGTAACAGTAAGTGCAGAATAATTTGATATAAAGTGAGTACAGTGCATGTGTTGAAAAAACATATGAAAAGGTTGATATCAAACCACCATCACATTTATATTCACTTGGATACTTTGAAAAGTGATGTAAATATTGATATTTACAGAATGAAAGGAATTCTATCTTTTGCAACTCTAATGACCAATGCTAGATGTCAACTGAAAAATGTACCGTGGGTTAATCATTTTTTGAAAAACCTTGCATTAGGGTATATCAGTAACTATTAATCATATAGTGTAGTATACAAAGTAATGACCCTCTCCCAAGATGTCCATGTCCTGATTCCTGGAGCCTATGAATATGTTAGGTTCTAACTGTCAAAGAGCAGTTCACTGTACAGATGGAATTAATGTTGTAGATCAGTGGACAAGCAATAGGGAGATGACCATGCATTATCCCTGTGGGTCCAGTAGAGTCAGAGGGGCTCTTTGAAGTGGAAGATGGAGGTAGAATAAAGAGAATCAGAGAGATATGACCCGACACAAACTCAACTTGATGTTTCCATCTTTAAAGATGGGGGCCATGAACCAAGGAATGCGAGTAGCCTCTAGAAGCAGGAAAGGCAAAGAAACATATTTTCCCTTAGAGCCTTCAGAAGGAATGCAGCCCTGTTGACACCTTTATTTTAATCCAGAGAGATGCATTTGGGATTTCTGACTTCCAGAAGTGTAAGAAAATAAATTTGTGTTGTCTTAAGCTATTAAGACAAAACCAAACACTTCCCCACTATCCCCTCCCCCCCCAAAAAACCGCACCCAACAACAACAAAAAAAAAACCAAACCAACAAATACAACACTGTAGGTGAGGTTGTAGATTGTATGAATGGAACCAGCTTTTTCTAACCTTTTTACCATGTATTTGTTGAATAACTTTCTTTATCCCCCCTCAAGTCCAAAGTATTTACAAACTTGGATAAGTAGAAGATGTTCCACTCTGGATCCTTATCTCCTGGCCGGGTATTTGTCTTTGTTGCTTTGGTCTAACCCAGTGGTAGTGTGTAAACACCATTATATGAAGGCAGGTAGCAGCAGATAAACTCATCAGAGTCCTCTATAGAAAGTGGCTTCACCACTGTTTGTTGTAAAACTACGTTATAGGGGTAGGGCAGGGGCCAGATTGAAGATGTGCAGGTTCAGAGGAAGAAGTAGAGATGAGGCAGGAGTCGAGTCTGAAGGGAGGCCTGGGTCTGAGCCGTAGCTTCACCCCTGATCAAGAGTGAGTGCACTTGTTCTAGCTCTGTCCCTGGCATGGTGTCTGTTTTCCCATCTGTAAAGTGAGGGCATGGGATTCAGTGAGCTTGGGCCAGAGAAGACACTTACTCTGTCAACCCATGATTTGTGTTCCCTCCCTTCTACTAGAGCCTCTCTGACGCCCTCACTGACACCCTGCCTTAAGGATCCATTTTCATATAGTAGCCGTTTTATTGAGTGGTCAGACTGTCAGCCTTCAAATCCTGGCTCCACCATTTTCTAGATGTGAGATACGAGGCAGCTTACTTAATCTTTCTGTACCTCAGTGTCTTCATCTGTAATATGGGCGTAATAGCAGTACTTAATTTCATAGAGTTAGTGTGAGGATTAAATGAATTAATATAGATAAAGCCTTAGAACATTGCTACCCTGTGCCAGGCAGATAGTATGGGCTCTGTGAGCGCTGTGAGCACAGAGACCCTGTCACTGAAGAGCACATGGTCTGAGAATAGAGATGCATGGCTAGGCAAATAGGTACTCAGCAGTGTGGAGGATGGGGATGGTCATGGGGGCAGCATCACTGAGGAGGTGTTGTGTGGGCCCCATCTTGAAGGAGTACTGGCTGGTCAGGCCTTCCTCCTCTGCCTGCATGCCTGTGTCCCCATTGGTACATGAGCTCCTAAAGGGGCCTGCTGTGTTCATTTGTGTGTGTGTGGTGAGGAGTGGGGCACGTGCAGGGGCTCCAGTGGAAGGCACAGTGTGGAACCTTTAGGGAACTGCGTGTTGCTTGGAATCCATGGGATATACTAACTCTGTTTACATTTTTCCTCCTCACTTTACAATGTGATTTGATTGGGGTGACCTCCAGGAAAACAAAACAAAAAAGGTTGAGAAGAGAAAGTTTAGGTCAAAACATGGCTGCTTCTTCATGCTGTGACGTATCTGCGGAGGCAGTTGCTCACAAGCTGTAAAGACAACCTTTGTTGAGGATTTGGTGCACTGAGGAGGTGAGCCTGGAGGCCCTGGGACTCCCCTGAAAGCCTGGGAAACAAGGATCAGAGTCTGGAGCTTGGTTAAATGGCTCCCAGCGCTCCACTCTTAACCCCTTCCCAGGCACACAGGCACTGGTCAGACTGAATTGCCTTTCCCTGGTGGAGGTAACAGCCATCATAGCTGGCACTTACTAATACTCATTGAAAGCCAAGCATGTGGCAGTCACTTCACATGCGTTATTTCACTTAATTACATCACCACCAAATGCGAGTATTCTAGTATGATCCCTCTTTCACAGTGGAAGAAGCTAATGATCCGAGTGGTTGAATAAGCGGTAGCGTTAAGATTTGAACCCAGCTCTCTCCGTCTCACTTTGCTCTGTTGACATGGGGAATTTGAGTTGCTTGTTAAATGAATGATCAGAATCTTGACTTCCGCTCCTAATTTTAATAGTAATAAAAAGCAGTTTAAGTGAGCACTCCCTATGCACCAGGCTCTCTGTTGACTGCTTTAAGTGTATTACTGCATTGGATTCTCACAACAAGCCTCGAAGGCAGTGCCATTATCATCTTTTCTTTACTGTTGAGGAGGCAGAGCACAGATAGGTTCAGTAATTTGCCTGAGTCATATGGCTGGTAAGTTGAGAAGTCAAAATTCTAAGTGACACTTTTAATCACAGCGCCATTTTGCTAGTGCTTCTGCTCATCTACATACCGCTTTCCCTCTCCTTCCCATCCTCCCTCCCTCCTTCTCTCTCTCATTCTCTCTCTCTTTCCCTCCCCCACTTTCTTTTTTTTCAACACATTTTTATTTAACAGTGTTTCTAAGTTTATTTTTGAGAGAGAGTATGAATGGGTAAGGGGCTGAAAGAGGGCAGGGACAGAGGATCCAAAGCCAGCTCTGTCTCACAGCAGAGAGCCTGATGTGGATGGAGCTTGAACTCATGAACTATGAGACCGTGACCTGAGCCGAAGTTGGACACTTAACCAACTGAGCCACCCAGGCACTCCTAACCACGTTTCTTTTTTTTTTTTTTTTTTTTA